AAATTAATTTTGAATTTTTTCAATTTATTTGTGAAGGTAGATTGACGGATATTCGATAATACTGAGCTGTCTGTATCATGTTTTACCTTTGCTTTATGTAATATAAAGCATAAAAAATTACTTTCCAGCATAATGGATAACTCAAACTATTACACAGTTTCAATAAATAAAACCCAATATTCATAAAACCTTATGAAAATATGCTGATTTTATATGCAATGAGTAGACATTTCCTTAAATAGTAATTTCTAAAATCTAATAGATATTACTGTTTTTTAAAAATATATTATTTATGATTGTTTTTTTACAGCAAGTAAGAATAATTCTTAAGCATTTATTTATATTCAGTGACAGGCCATTCTTAGTACACCTTTTAAAATTGTCTAAATATAACTGTAATAGAAGCAAAAAAAATAAATAAATATTCAGGTCCATTTACAAACAAGAATAACTTGAGATCATTAGCAAAACACGAACAAATACTGGCAGTATTTAATATCGTTAAAAACAGTATAAACAATGTAATATACATTTAACCTTTAATTCTTAACCTTACGTTAAGAGCACGAATATTAAGAAACTTAGATTTAATTGATAAAATCTATTATTTATTGAGTACATGTGGTAAATTTTAGGATTTCGTACTTTTATCAAACGATCTTGTTAAATTCTAAGATAATAGATAAATATATAGTAAAAATAAACTGTCAAATCAAATAAAACAAAATGTAAATTTATTTTACAAATTTAATTTTAACAAGTGTTTAATTATTGATGATTATTGTTTTACGCAATCTCGATGTTACGGTAATAAAGCATGCATAAATAACATTGTATTACACAATAATAATTTTTTATTTAAATTCTAAATTATATTCAGATTTTTTTGATAATTGTTTTTATGATTAAAGCACATATGATTTTTAAATCAGACTAGGTTTACTACCGGTAAAAAAAAATAAATCAACCGTAAGTGTCATTATGTCATTAATGAATATAAAAACTTACTAGAAAATATTATTAATTTCTTATTATTTTAATTCATTAATTAATATTGATATGAGTATGTATTCTATTCGTACTTTACCACGTATACTAATTGTGCCCTTTAACTTTTAAGTATAATTCATGTATCGCAAATAAAAGTGAAACAAATATATCTAGTACTACACTAATACAATATTTAGTTAAATCTATCATTATTTATCATCATTAGTATTTATTGATAAGCTATAATCGTTTAGAACAATGTCATAATATTAATTTCACTATAGCATATTTAATATACACATTTTATAATTAACTTCTTTAATATTTATTTCGAACTTTAAAAATAATATACAGTTTGTTCTAAAATTTATCATTTGTAAAAGCTAAAACCACAATAATATTATTCGTCATTAGACTGAACAAATTTTTATTACACAGAACTTATCAATATTAATTGGTAATCAATATCTCAAGTCAGACTTCAAGTTAGTTAATTATAGTTTTTAATAAATTGTTTAACCTAAGTTTTTCTGAAGTTCGTATCTTTACCGTAAAATATATATCACAATAATTACCATTGGTCTAGTCTAATTACCGTACCGTGATGTTCGTATTTAAGTTTCTTATCTTACACGACAGACACAGACGATTTCCACGAAAAACGTGTTGTCTTGTTAATCGAAAGACAAAATCAAAGCGATTATCACATCCAGTCGACTACGGTCATCGTATATCACACGAGTTAATATTGTATTTGTAGATTTCCTTTACAAAATGTGCAAAAGTACCATAGACGCTTTCCTAGCAGAGATTATATCTCTATATCGGTACAGTACTACACTAGAATATTATAGCCTGTTACTGGAAGGTTTTATGTCGTCGAAACGGTCGTTTTCCCGTCTAGTCAATATTATAATAAAATGTCATCGTATCCAACACGGATCGATTTTGTTATTTGTGATCGTTATAACGTAAAGTTTTATTTATAATATAAAGTCACATTATATATGTATAATTAATAATATAAATAATAACAGGATAATTAATCATACACAGAATTTTAATGAACATTTTATTAGTTGAAAATTTCTCGCTTTACTCGTACCTAACATAATCGTACAAATAATCGAAAATATTATTAACAATTATGTTTCACTAATTATAAATAACTTTGGAGGATTTCTAATTCCGGCTTTTTAACAGATAAACCTAAATGCACATTAGTTCTAAAAATACGCTTATAATTATTTTATTTTTATTACACATAATTTTCATATTTTAAATATTAATCTGTCTTCGAAAATTATAAATAAGTAAAACAATAATATTCTTACAATAAACCCTGAGTTCATAAAGTGTAATAATAATATAATGCTTGATAATCTTTGTAAATTTCAAAATACATTTTCTCATAACTTTGATAATAATATATAAATATATAAATATACTTTGGTAGCCATATTATTAAAAGACATACACTGTAGGTATAAAAAATGAACTTATAAATTTTTATAAATAGATTGGTTTATTTGATTTTTTTTTTTTTTGCATCTACAATTAACATAATAAATCCAAATTTCACTCACAGTAACTTTGTTAACTTATCTTTAATAGACTAAAAAGCATCGTTCGCATCACATATTATTGTTAGTTTATATAAATACTTATATTATATTTTTTAATATTTATATTCAAATATATGTTATACCCAATGGGAATATTTATTTAGTTTTAACAGTCACTAAAAACAATATTTTACTGCTTACTTCGTACGGGATGCAATTAGAGTACAAAACATTAAGAAAATCATATTATTGAATATGCTAAATAAGTATTTGGTGAAAATTAAAAAATTGATTTTTTGTAAGCTAGTTTTATGTAAAAATGTACTTTTTCCACATATTTTTTTGTTTTGTTTTGTTTTTCACCAATTACTAAGAAAAGTACTGATTTTTTTACTCTTGACTTCTTAAAGTACTAATTAAATTAACTTTTTTACCAGAAAATATTCTGAAATTTAAAACCAATGCATTATTCTTTCTACTATAAAAAGTGTTTTTAGAAAGAAAAAAAATATAAATCATTGTAAAATCAATTTCTTTTTTACTCTGATCAGAATTTAAAAAAATTAAAACTAATAAATGTACTCAAATTTAATTATTAGAATATAAAATAAAGTGAACGAACAATTGAATTAAATTTTTTTTTAATTTGTGAAGTGTTATTTTTAAAAATTATTATATATATATATATAATGTACTTTTTAAATACGTGCATAATTCAATCATTTCTATGATATTCATGAAATTTCCTATAGTCTTGTTAAAATTGCAATAAAAAATGGATTCAGGATATTATTTTAGATTTAATAATCAATGAAAATTGTATTTTCTACCTACTTAAATATTTTCTACCTAATTCTGCAATATGTGTAGGTTGAGAAACCGAGTAAACGCTTGATGTCGTTTTATATTATATAAGCCATTAAAAATAGTTAGGTAGTTGTTAAAAACCGTTATATAGTGTTTTATATATTTAAATTAAAATATGATTAAAAATTTACTAATCGTTACTTTTCTGTTTTCAAAAACTTAAAGAAAAATATGCTTCTTTTAATTGATAAAGTTTTACTGCATATTACGACGTCGAGCGTCATGTGCAGATATTGTTTTACTATTTCAATTTTCAAGATTTATCATACGATTCATAACTTTTAATGAGATATTTTATGGTATCGGTATCGAAGTAACAAATAAGTCTGACAAAGACTTCACGTTGTTTTTTTGCCAGGTGATGGGTAACACAAAATATTTTTAAAAACAACAAAAAACCAAAATTATTTGAGTATATCTTTTTTTTATTATTATTATTCAAATGCTTTATATCATAATACTATTTCAGAAGCGTGTGAAACGATTTTTATACAACAAACTTTCGGTTTGCATTTGCAACTGTTTATCAAAAGTGAAATTGTTTTCCGATTTGTTTCGAAAGTAAATAAATGTTAAGGCCAAACAAACAACGAGTAACGCTTGTTATCCAAAATATTAGTTAAACAGAGTAAATAATAGTTTTGTTTGATCCATAAAATATTTTCACCAATTCAAAAATAACGCTTAATAGGAATAAAATATAATCTATTCATTTTGTTTTTAACACGTTCACGTCCGCGTCAATTTCAGAGGTCAAGCGCACCCAGCCGCGTAAATATTGATAAAATTACACTCGTGACGATCATATTGATAACACGTTTTATAACCATAAAAATGCCGGGAAACCGAAACCAGCTGTTTGTTGTTGTTCTAATACTTATACCGTATGGCCGTGCTAAATATAATAATCGTTCGCCATCAGCCGACGATTTTATAGGACACACAGAAACAATTGTGATATGACGACTACGGGTCGTCATCGGCTGGGCGCGCCCGACATCGTATGACGACTACGCGTCGTCACCGGCGTTGAACGTGTTAATAATTACGAGAGAAAAAAAAATCGTCCAACCAATAACATCCCAATGTAAAATATGTTCATATATTTTCAAATTACCATTTTGGACATAATATTTTTAATTTATTTATCTATCCAATGTTATAATAATCAAGAATTAGCCATGATTTTACTAAAAACGTTCAACTTAACAACATAATATTATTTTATCATATCAAATATTGGAACAATATGAATAAAGTATTTATTTAGAAAGATAATATAAATACGAAATATAACTAATGCTTTGGACAGACATTTGTAATTGAATTACGCTTGCAGTTATATTATAATGCCTACTTGTTATGCGAAACTTCAGCGGATGATACGTATATAATATACAATACGTTACAAATGCATGCATGTTGTCATTTAAGTTTTGTATGTATTAAAACATTTCATTTTTTGTTAATTTAACTCGCTCGCTTCTAACTCTCTGAATATTTTATTATGATACTTTTTTCATATTTATTTTTTATTATTACTATTTTTTTATTTTTTTTTTTTTTTTTTTTTTTTAGGTGGGTGGCTGACGACAACTGGAGTCCCTGCAGTAAAACATGTGGAGGTGGAATAAGGGTACGACACGTTTATTGTGTGGAAGAAACAAATGGCACTAGAACAAAGGTAATGAGAATTGAATTAAAAATCAAATTAAACTGGTAATATAATTACGAATGGTTTCTATGCAGTGTACTTTTTTTTTAATTTCACAACGAACGCTACAGCTAGTAGCGAAAATCTCGTCAGTAATTAAATGTTTTCCACAGTTGCTAAAATGGTGTGTATTATGTACGCAAATTAAGACCCATATGTATAGTAATTGTTCTAAATTAGCCAATTTATTGGATACTCAGTTTGTACATTTTTTAGTATAAAACCGTATTTATTACATAGAACTTTTTTTAAACTAAAAAACATTAATATTAGATAGTTTTTACAAATGAATTAATTCAAATTTTTAACTCAGCGCTTATTAAAAAACAACTTTAACGCTGTTCAAACATTAGGAAGTATATTAAAAAACGACATTTAAAAAACCAAGTTATATCACTATTTAGGTTTAAGTATTTAAGTGCGTTATTGTTTCTTGTTTATTTTTCTGATATATTTATTTATTTATTTTTGATTTATAAGCTAAAATCTAGAAAAAATTAAGTTTTAAATAAATAGATTGAAACACAATTGTAATAGTAAAAATAATAACAAAACTTTAAAAAATTAAAAAAGTATATAAATTTCAAAACTATTTTAACAAAAATAAAATGTTTAATTATAAACCGAGTATACATTAGATGCCTCATATGCTCGTTTTTCATAAAACTACCTTTAAATTGGTGAATATAAAAATATAGAAATTCATAAAGAAAATATATTAAATGAATTATAAAAATAGTGTATTTTTAAATTCTATAAAATTATAAATATTTATTATTATTATTATTATTACCTATGTCCTATATTATGTATTTATCTCTATCAATTTAGTTTTCTGCTCATTTTAGCATTAAAACTTGCATAATTGATAAAGTGTTTTAATTTAAGCTGTTATTTAATATTCAAATACAAAAATATATTATAAAATTAATGACATGAACAAATATTTTATTTTTATTAATTAAGTGTTGTCATTCAAAAAAGTGCTTAATTTTTAACAAAATATCCCTGCATTTAAATCTATTAAATTATAATGTTTTTTAGATATTTACTACCTATCTGAATCGACAAACAACTAAAAGCTTATAAATTATAATATCTATGCCATTGATTTTTTATATCTTGATCATAAAAGTTATTTGCTTATTTTATATATATACTAAAAGCAAATAAAAAAGCTTTGTAATATACCTACCTATTATTTTAACCAAGCCGATAAAAATATAGCCCCACCTTTATTAAAACTAAAATGACAGTTTTGCATTAAGTTAAGTCACTTAAATTGACGTATATATAAATAGCGGTAGTATACCTTCTAATTATTTAAATATAATTTACCATATTTTTTTTTATTTTTTTTTTTTTTTTTATTCTGAATTCTTTTGAAAATGTTGATGTAGTTAATATTTTCCAAGTTATTAAATTTTAAGTACCAAATATAAGTGTACTTAATAATTAATTTAAAAAATATTACTGGGAGCTAATATGATTTGTTTGTAATATGATTTATTAAAAAAATTTATTTTCTAAAAAATATTTAAGTTTAACACAAGCAAGCACTATGTTAAGTATTATATCAGCATATCAGGTTTCACGATATCGATGAAATAATAATAAAACTTTTATAAAAATTATTATGACATTGTTAATGTTGTGTTACACTCATTGCGGGTACGTCGCAACAATATTAAACCACGGATTGACTACACTGAATATATATATATATATATATACATTGCAGTTTTAATCAACACTTAATGTATAAATAATTCTGATGTCATTTACAACAATAAATACCTATATAGCTATATAATATAAACATTTTTTACACATCCAAAACCAATGAAGTCTCATGAATATTCATAATTTATTTTGATTTAGTATTATTACGTTATGTTATATTTTACTAATGCGTGGTGTGTACATTAATGCTTAAATAATTTGGATAATAAGTAATAACAAAGAATCACTCTTCATCAAACCAAACGCGCGGTTAAATGAATAATTATTATTACAAGTATTATTACATCAATATCTATAATTTAATTATATTATGTACAATTACTATCCATAAAATTAATAAAAATTGAATAAAAAAATATTCACATTATTCTTAATTGTACTTAATACATTTTCCACCGATAAATAGAACAGAATCCGCCGTAGATAATAATTAAATGGATTATTTTAATCATGATGATTTCAAAATAAATGATTAAAGTTTTTAATATAATCTGATCTTAATATTTTTAACTTCTCCTAATATTTACACGATTATTAAAAAATAATAATATAGGGTTTCTAATAGCTACAAATCATAAAACATATTTTAATACTTATAAGTTATAACTAAAAAAAGATTATTTTGTAATGTTCCTGCATAGTATCTGTGCAGTATTAGTAACTATTAAACAAATACATATGAATGTGTTTAATATATAATACATAAATATCTAAAAGTTATGATAATTTAGTCTTTGCCTCCAAAGATGAACATGTATACAGAACATAACTGCAGTCGGCGCGGCCTTATGTCAACATTTTTCACACAGCATTATTTTCTTTCTGTTAGAACATTTATTAATTAAATTATTATTATAATAACTTTTTTTTCTAGAATATTTACAAGATTATTTAATGTAATATTCACTAAGTAAGTTATTACACTCAATTTTTTTTTTTTTTTTTAATAATGAATTTATTCAAATTGTAATTTTTGAAACTTTTTAAATATACGTACATAAAAGGTTAGATTTCTATAGTATTTGAAAAGTGCCCTGTAGCGATACAAACTTCTTTTTTTCAAATGAGAATCAATTAAGTTTTATAGAAGTTAATGATTAAATCACTTTTTGGGAATTTTAATATTGTATTAAATAAAAATTCAAAAATTGTTTATTTGAAACTTTGAGTTATTAATATAAATCTATCATTATTTAATTATTCGTGAAAATTATCTGAGTATAATGTATACTAAACATCAAAACAAATAATACATATTTTTTTTATTTATCTAAAACTATTTTTAGAGGTTATAATCTTTAGTAAGCATAAACATTTTAATAAGTAGGAAACTATTCGTTCTTATTTCAATTAAGATACGTCAAGATTTTTGAAAATATCAGTAGCAGAATGAAAAATTCTTAATTTACAATAAAAAAGTTCTTGTTAAAAAAAAAAAAAAGAAGATTGCCACAACACGCTTAAATTATATAAATAATTTATATAATTTAAAATATGGTTTTTAAGAATACTTAAGAACTCTAAAAATCAGAATTTGTATAAATAAATTTATTAAAGAACAAAAGCTAAGCTGTGTATATTTAATGAATTTCTTTATACAAAATAACAATATCATTGCACTATAATATTATATAACAACTGTTATTTGAAAAGTAAACAGTCGTTATCTATTATAAAAACTTTGATCGATACGTTAAGAATTTTATAAAATTTAATATTATATTATAATAGTTTTTGTAAAAAATGATTTTACCGATGCCTAATGTAAAATATTTCAAAATCCGAGCAAATCGACTTTAACGTTCAAATTTTAACGACGATAACTTTCACTCGATTGCATGCCTTACTATTTATGAATGTTATATAATATTATTATCTAGAAATAATATGTAGGTACTTGACATTTGAACTCCGGTCTAAAAAATGTAATTAACTATAATTTAAGCAACGACATGTTGCGTTTTGTTGTGTGTCATGACAAAAGGCAACACCGTATACAATAACATACAATAGTAATAATATATAATTCGTGATTTGGATTTATACGAGTAAATTAACGAAAACCACTAATATACGTTATCAGTTATCAGTTATCAGTTATCATTGTAAATTTATAATGACTTCCATCGATGTTTGTAGACTTCATTGAATTAATTTTTAACTTAACTTTTTCTTGGACCATAAAAGATATAATGTACTTGGTAAAAATATATTTATGGTGACCCGGCGTATTTGATAGGCAAAATAGGTACACCACTGTCGCAAATCCATTTTCTCAAAATCTCATATAATACGTATTCGTGTTTTTAATTATTGTACACTTGAAAATAATGAAATGTTACGAAACATAGTTTGTTAGATATAGATTATTCTACTAGAGAATACCATTAATGCTTGATATCTTGTAAGATGTTTAATGTTTCAAATTACATCTAAGTCAAGTATCAAAAACATTTTAATTTGAAAAAAAAATACATAAGTAATTAAAACATAATTTTTAGTAAAAAATAAAAATGTTATTAATCGAAACCATTTTAACCAAAACATATATTATTGATATATTTTGCTTACATGCATATAAATATATATAATAAAGCAGTAATTTTTTTTTAATTATAGATGTTAAAATGATTTCAATTATGTAATCAGTTATGATAAGAATAAAATAATTAAATACAAATTACAATTATCAATTTAGCTTTGAACTTGTATGAATGTATGCTTAAAATCAAATCAAAACAAAACTGTAACTGTTAGTAATTATAATTAATGAAAAGGTTAAATTTAACGCTACTTATAAAAAATATAATCAAGTTAAAATAATTATAGCATTAAAAATTAAACGTAAACGCAAAGTAACTTTGAAAATCTCAAAAATTTTAAACACAAAATTTAAATAACATTTAAATACTAAATAACATTAAACGTAAAAGTATAAAACATTTTAATTCTTAGTCTTTTAATCAAATAAATTTAAATTTTTTTTTTAATAATTTTTTTCAAAATACAGTACATATAATTAATATAAATTAGTAAATAGCATAATAAAGCTTTGAGGAATAAAAACTAAATGCTATTTTATGTAATACTAAAAATGAATTAATTATACCGATAATTTTTATTTGATACAATCAAATATTTATTTAGCTTAAATTATACTGAATTTTATCATTAGATTCTGCTATAATAGCACTTATAAAATCTGATAGATATTGTCTTTGATTTAT